AAAAAAGTTTAGTTTTTGAGATATGCGGGTTTCTTTTGTGTGTTAAAAAATGTCAACTTTCGTCGATAGACGAAATTTTCCGATTTTCAACATGGCACGGATTTTTCTGAAAACCAGGCTCCTAACACGAAATTTTATCCCGAATGTAGCCATCTTTTGGTGGTAGCCATATTTCGATTAGAAGCTTAGTTTTCAGAAAACCGCAAGGGTTCCGCCATAAACGACAATTTCGTTCAAATAGCAGTGTAGAAAATTGCAGTTGCAAGAAGGTTCTCATTAAACTAGACACTACATTTAAGTTTCAAATTAATGAACACATAACCTACCCTTACGTGTTAGAATTTGACTGCTATAGCGTGAATAGTTTCGGAGATAAAGCGTATTGAATTTGACTATTATTTGCAGAGCGTCGAGAATTCGAAAATACAAGGCATTCAACTCAGTGTTCCTAGAAAGAACATTTTTCATCCGAAAATGACAAATAATGACATTATCTGAAACCTGATGAATTTTCAAACACGTCAGTGTTTGCGGAATTGATTTCTGTTGCATCTTTTTTAGGATACGTGGCTTTCTTTTTGTGTTAAAAAAATGCCAAGTGTCGTCGATCGACGAAATTTTCTGATTTTCGACATTAAACCAATTTTTTATGAAAACCAGGTTCCTAGCACAAAATTTCATGACGAATACTCTTGTGATATCCATTTTTCGATTAGAAACAAGGTTTCACAGAAAATCGCAACAATTACGCCATAAACGTCAATTTCGTCCAAATAGCAGTGTAGAAAATTGCAAACTCAAGCAGGTTCATATTAAACTAAAAACTTCATTAAAGACTCAAATCAAAGACGAAAGTTCATACATCTTCGTGTGCGCATTTGATCTCTGTAGCTTCAATAGTTTAAGAGAGAGAGCCTATTTAATTCGACAATTATTTGCAGAGCGTTTAATAATCTAAAATAAAAGATTTTCAATTCAATGTTCCTAAAGGGCACAATTCTCATTTGTATATGACAAATGCTGATATATTCTGAAACTACATTAATTTTGAAACCGAAAATTTTGAAACAAACCGAATTTTTCTAGATATCAGGTCCCTAACACAATATTTTACGGCAAATACACTGGTAATATCCATTTTTCGATTAAAAGCTTAATTTTTAAAAAAATCTACACACATACGACATACCCACGAATTTCGTCCACATAGCAGTGTAAAATATTGAATATTCAAGCAGGTTCCCATTACACTAAAAACTACATTTAAGACTAAAATTAAAGACCAGGGAACATTTACATGTGCGAATTTGATCGCTCTACTTTTGATAGTGTTAGAGATAGATCTTACTGAATTTTACTACTATTTTTAGAGCATTAAGAATTATAAAATACATGGCATGTAATTCACAGGTTTTAGAAGGCATATTTTTCTTTTGTAAATGCCAAATGATGACTTTTCTGAAACTACATGCATTTTAAAAGACACGTGAGATCCACCACGAAAAGATCCACCACGTGACCGACAAACTAAAGAATTATTCATGTGATATCCTTGCACAAGGATGAACTACTTGATCGCCTTGCTTAAGGATCCCCCAACTTGATCGTCACGCTCAAGGATCCCCCACTTGATCGTCACGCTCAAGGATCCTCCCACTTGATCGTCACGCTCAAGGATCTCCCCACTTGATCGTCACGCTTAGGGATCCCCCAACTTGATCACCACGCTCAAGGATCCCCCTACTTGATCGACTTGCTCAACGATCCCCCACTTGGTCGACTTTCTCAACGATCCCCCACTTGGTCGACTTTCTCAACGATCCC